TCTGATCGATTACATCATTGATCTGATCGATCACTTGGTTAAATCACAAACATTAAAGTTCACTGGATTCTTCATCCTATCGATAGTATGGAGTGATTTAATCGATCACATCCTGTCATCTGATCAGTTACATAGGTGAAATAATCGGTTATACGTTATTCTCAGAAAATTGAAATTGCACTATTTTGACATCCTATAGATACTATGAGGTGATCTGATCGATCACTTGGATCAATTTTATCAATCACATTAATAAAGTGATCGGTTACAATATTAGACACCTGTATTTTTCATTTGATCCCTCCTTCTGATCAGTTACTTTAGCCATGTGATCGGTTAGTTAGAGTGAGATTTCTTATTTTGCATGAAATATAAAATAATGCAAAGATAAATGATATTTAAACCAAAGGCTATAAACTATCTTGCCTTACATAACATCTACTCTCACCATTTTATACTACCCCTGCTAATGAAATATATACCCTCCTTTGTGCTTTCCATTCCATGGTGTTTCCATGCCTTGTTCTTAATAATGTTCCTGTTTTACTGCATCTCGATATATATATGTTAAATGCACTTTTTATCTTTGTTTGTAATCATCAAAATAGTAAGAGGTGTGAATTAAAGGCATTTGTGCCAACAATCTTCCTCTTTTTTATGATGACAAACAATAAATCAATAAAGCTTTAAAACATAAATTAAGGACATATATTTCAATAAAGCTCCCCCTTAGTTCATGCATCTACCCAGTATAAAATTATATATATTATCCCCCTTTGGACATCAACAAAAAGGATAAAATATTTAATTTAAGGGCTAACATGAAAGAACCATAATAAAGAGGATTATTGACCTGCTGGAGTTGTCTGAGTGTCAAGTAGCATATATCACAAGAAAAAACAAAATAGATAGCAAAAAGTAATCATCAAAATGCAAATATGTATGCCCAAGGAGTGTGAATCAGTCAGGTGCCACATTGGAGAGATTGTCTGAGGGGAATAACTGAAATTTGTCAACAATTGCTTTGAGCATGTCCTTCATCTGTTCAAATTGAATGTTGTTGACTGCCATGTGCCGGGCAACAAACTCATACACATTGTTGGCTCTTTCTTTGACAATTTGAAGGTCCATTGCTTGTTGATCACTACTGTCAGCTATTGAAGTTCCTGTTGAGCTGACCATGTTCTCAAGGGTAATGACTCTATTGGATGGTGTCTCAATTGTCATCGATTGATTTTTGGTAGAACGATAGGGTGTGAGCCTGAGTCAAAGTTCAATGTACTTTGCTCTAAACATAGTGGATCGTTTTGCTCTGGACTACACAGTCGACGAGGTTTTTCCCACAACAATTGGTCTATTCTACCAATTGAGGTTTCCTCGCTAAAATCTTGGTGTCATCTCTTAAACTTTATTTACTTTACTTGCACTTTATTTTTGCTTTGTGGGTTTGATTTTAGTTTTATTTCAATAAAATTAAAGTAAGTAAAAATTGGATAAAGGAGCAAGTTAAATCTATCCTTCGAGGTTAATTATCCTATTGTATTCCACAACCATTCCACTGCACATAACTCACAATGGATACATTTACGAATGAGTCGTACTTGTATCGAAGATCGACACTTACGAATAATTCAAATACTTGACTCTAATTCTTTAGATCAAATGATCAAGGTGGAAGGCCTGGCCAAGCCCAGCCTAGATTATATGAAGAGCTACTTTAAAGATGTTATCCAAGCCCAACAAAGCCCAATAAAAGGTATTCCATTCTCAAAATGAAATAAAAATAATAGTAATAAAATAAAGGAATATTGTTAATAAGAAAATTTGCAAGTGTGAAGGGACATGCCCCAGGGAATACATAAGATCAAAACCCTAATACCACCAAGCAAGCAATCAAAATAAAAATAAAAAATGAAGCAGTATTTAGGAGTTCATGTGTAGGGCTGCAAATGAACTGAGCTGTTTATGAACAGCCCGGGCTCGTTCATTAAACAAACCAGCCAAGCTTGAGCCCAATTTTTAGGCTCATTTAGTAAACGAGCTGAGCTTGAGCAACATTGAGCTCGGCTTGCTTAGGCTTGTGAACATGAGCTCGTTTAGGCTCGTTAATGTTCGTGAACAAAGCTCGTATAAGGCTCGTTTTATTTATATACATAATATATAATATATATTATATATACATGGTTTTATTATAATTTATAGCACAAGTACCCAAAATAAAATAGCTTAAATTACAAACTATTGCACACCTGTCAATTGCTCAAAACTTACCTTATCTCTTCAAAATCTTATTTGTTGGGTAATCTTGACGAACCTCTTATTATTCAATTTATTCTCATCTCTTGACTGAGTAAACTCTATCTCCATCTTCCCTTATTCATCTAAGACTCAAGTCTCCAACGAAGATGATTTATTGTGAGGCCTCTTCTTTAGTTCTTCAGTTCCGTCTGCTGGACTCTGGAGTGAGGGTTAACTCATGAAATTGTGAGGCCTCTTCTTCGAAAGTCCTTTGGGGCTAATTAGTTACCTTGCCTGAAGGTTGACAATCTTGTCTCGATCTAGACACCCACAAGATAAGTTACTGGGAATTTTGGAACAGATCAAATAAGCTAATCTCTTGGTGTCTCAGACATTAGAGGAAATTGAGGCTGAATCTTTGTCTTTGGTAAGAAACCCTAATTTATTTATTTTATTATTCTTTTTTTTTTTTTTTTTTTTTTGGGTGTGGATTCAACCGTTTGTTACATTGCTAAATGTATGATATTTTTTTTAGGTGTGGATTCAGCCGTTTATTTTTTAGTTTTCCTCATCAACTTCCAATTTCGATGTTCCATTGCTAAGTTTGTGCATTTCTCTGGGCTTTTATTTGTGTCTTTATCTATTTGAAGCATTCTAATGTAACTTGTAATAATAATAACTTTAGTTACAATTATATATATATATATATATATAATAATAATAATAATAATAATAATAATAATAATAACTTTAGTTACAATTATATATATATATATATATGCTTGAATAACATATATTGGCAAAATCGGTAACATAGTTGTTTCCTGTTAAATATCAATTTTTTTTTTTCCTTGATATACAACTTTGTTACCGATTTTGCCAATATATGTTATTTATTATCTCTTTGATTATATTATATGTTTGGATGTTCTCTATCCTGTTAAATAACTTCTTCCAACTTTGTTACAGATTTTGCCAATATATCTTATTTATCATCTCTTGTGGTTTAAGTTTTACTCTATCATGATTAATTGCTTTATTTAAAAATACATCAATTATAATATTATATATTTTCCTAATTATAAATTATATAGGCAACTTCTTTAGAACGTAAAGAATAGTATGATGTTGGACCAAATCACATTTCACAATAGATTCTAGAAATCTTATGGCAACTTCACAGGGATTATCAAAATGAAATTCTTGGACTTGTAAGTAATTTTTTTTAATATAATTCGTGCGCATAATATATGAATGTCATATTCACATTTTACTTTTAATATTATAAATAAATAAAGGACATTGTTTGATTGTTGTGCCTAAAATTAAAGATTAAGCAACCCGTACGATAACTTCTTCTAACTCTGGAAACTATTTCTTTTTGTAAGTAAATTTTTTTTTTTCCATTTGTGTAGATTACTAACATACTTATTGTGATAAGATTCCAAAAGGGCCATTAAAAGACAAGAAAAAGGCTTAAGAGAAGTTGATGTTTCCTTTCTGGTAGACAATTGGGTGACTATGAGTTTTTATGTATGTTTGCCTAGGATATTAGTTTTCAGTTTTGTTTATGATGTTTCTAGTGGTTGGGTTCTCAATTTGGATGAAACTTTACTTTCCTGGCTTGTTTGCTAGGATCATTTGTAGCTATAGTCTCTGTAGGTTTCCTCTCTGGTAAACACAATGAATATTGTAATGACACAAATATAGTAATTTGTTGTTATTGTTGTTGTGTCTTTTTGCATGATAGTGTGTCGTCTTATTGTGGCCTCTAGAATACTAATTAATTTTGAATTTTATTTTTATTTTTTTTGTTAAACGAGCCGAGCTCGAGCCAAACCCAAGCTTTTAAAATCTAGACGAGCCCGAGCCCGAGCTCAAATTTTTGAACTCGTCATGAGCCGAGCCCGAGCTGATCCCGTAAACAAACGAGCCAAGCCCAAACAGCCTAAAGCTCGGCTCGGCTCATTTGCAGCCCTATTCTTGTGAAGAATACTTATTTTCGATGTTTTGTTTTAATTCGAAACAAAATGACTATTTTGTTGTAAAGTGTGTTGAATATTAGTTGGAAGTATGTTTGGTAACGTCCATTTGTTATAAGATTTTTGGAACAAAAAACATGAATAAAAATAGGGTAAAAAAATGTTGCAAGTTTCAAAAATATAATGATTAGTTTTAAAATATCTTTTAAGAGTTTTTCAAAAATAAAAAATAAAAAATTTATTCATCACTACAATACTCATTGTTACAATGCTGAAATATGTAAAAACACCAAATTAGTGTTTTGATTTTTAATTACTATTTACGAAATGTTTCGATACTGTATAAAATAAAACGATTTTTACCAAATATATATATTTTTTTGTTCAATGCTACAATGCTTGACAAAAACAAAAATAAAATGCCTATCAAACAGACCCTATAATAATCTCATTTGAGACCTTTCAATTGAAACAAAACAGCCTTTATTGCGAATTCCTCATTTGCCATTTGTTTTCTTACGAAATGAAGAATACTCAACAAAATAAGGGCCAAATAATTGTCAAATAGTAAAAAATAAAATAAAAAAAAATTTCTTGATAAACTATGGAAATGGAGGATTCGAACACGGAAAAATTCAATATTTTTTTTTCTCGATAAACTATGGAGACTGAGAATTCAATCACGGCTCGTTCCCAGGTCATAACGCCGTGTAGAAGTTTCTCATTGACCATTTCAAATGATAGGATATATGGGAAGCATATTTTATACCCTTAAATTGACCATAAGGAAACAAAGGCAACTATTGAAAATTCCATTTATACCAGCCACTTTTATTCTCCTCATAGGATATAGTATGTGTGTATCCACACGCACAAACACACAGAGAGAAGCATGAGTGAGATTATACATAGAAGGGTCCATACTAATGGAATATGGTATCACATAGCAGAGAAAGGGAGTGGACCTCTTGTGCTTCTTATTCATGGATTCCCAGAGCTATGGTCTTCTTGGATTTACCAAATAAACTGCTTGGCGGGCCATGGTTATCATGTTGTTGCACCCGATATGCGAGGCTATGGTGAATCAGATTGCCCCCCGAACGCCGCCTCATACACAGCTTTCCATCTCGTCGGAGACTTGATCGGCCTTCTTGATGAGCTCCGAGAAGAAAAGGTAATTTACCATGCACTCTTATTTAAAGGTCAAACTGGCTCTGTAGTCTGTTGTACTAAATATTGCAAGAAAGTTGTTACAGAACTGTTACTTGTTTTGTTCAGTCATTTTTCATCAGTAGCAGCTAGCTTTGTTATCTTTTAGATTAACGGATGCAAATCAGATCCGACCCTACCATACGGTTCCGTTCCGTTTTATAATGAAACGACTTTGGTTCAGAAAAATAGAACTTAAGTTCGATTTGGGGTTCAAAAACTGATCTTAGTAATATACATTAATCTATATATATATATATATATATATATGGTAAAGTGCAAAAAAAAAAAAACACTCCTACTATATATACAATTGTGCAAAAATCACCCATGCTATTTGTATGTGCATATAAGCCCCTATAATTTGAAAATTTGTAGCAATTTGCCCCTTATTGTCAATTTTGACTAATTTTTTTTTTTTATAAAAACTCCGAAATACAGTATTTTAGTCTTCAATTTTTTTTTTTTTTATAAGAATCCCAAAATTTTTGTAAATACCCCAAAATCCCAAATTTTTTCCGTAAAAAAAAAACAAAACTAAATTTTTTTATAAAAATTCCTAAATTTTGAAATCCGTGTTTTTTAAATTTATTTTATCTTAAAGAGCATTTTAGGTATTTCAGTTTTCAAATTGGAAATTTGTTCTTATTTTCTCAATTTGAAAAATGTAGAGGTTTTTTTTAATACCCACGAGGTATTTGTATATTCTGTATATAGTAGGTTTTTTTTGCACTTTTCTCTATTTTATAAGAGGAGTGATGGATAAAGGGAAGGTTTCTACCGAAATAAATATCGAATCTTACGTGACTGTCTACGTCAAATAATTTCATTATCTAACTCCTTATCATCAATCTTTTCTCTTCCAATTTTTCCTTTCTCTCTCTCTTCCTCTTTGTTTCTCTCTCCTCCTCTCTGTGTCTCTAATTTTTCACCAATTGTTCTTATACATCCCCTCCCTTGATATACACATATCCAAAGTATTCTAGAAACAAGATTCAAAATTCTTTATTCTCGTCTCTTTTTCAAGATCACCTACTTTTCTCTATTCATAACTCTTCCAAGAATAAATCTTTCCAATCCCAGATGAAAAATCTACTTTTCTCTATTCATAACTCTTCCAAGAATAAATCTTTCCAATCTCAGATGAAAAATATACAGAAGATTTTTTTTTTTTTGGGTAAGTAAATATTCACACAAGAGTTGCCATTACAAAACACATTAATCTCTTACAGAATAAAAAAATAAAAAAATAAAACACTAAGAGAAACGATGAATCTTCTCAAAGTTTCTGTTTGATTTTTATGATACAAAATCTGAAGGAGAGAAACAACAGTTGTAACTTTTATTTTCTTTTACTTTTTTGTTCTGTTTTGGTTTTGTATTTCTGTATTTGCAAAATATGAAGAAATTTAATTTTTTTTTATTTTATTTTATCTTCAGTTTTGCGAAATAAAAAAGAGAGACAAAACCAAAATCAAAAATAAAATTGAATACAAAAGAAAAATTGAGAATTAGAGGAAGAGAGGAGAGAGAAGGGAAGAGGTAGGAGTTATGTTTTAAAAAAATAATCTGACGTGGCTGAGCCACGTTAAGTTTGACATTTTGTTTGGTTGTTTGGTTCGGTTCTTTTATCATTTTTCATTTTATAATACACTTGTTTAATTTTGATTAATAAAGAATATAAATTACCATAAATATATATTTCAAATTTTCATTTTCATTTTCATTTTATTAGTATTTATATATAGGCATATACAGAAAAGTGCAAAACCGTAGAATGAAACCAAATCCATCACTATTGTTCGATTGAGTGTCAATGGGTCTTCTTGGTTTGTGATCACTCAGAATACGAAAAATTGTTTTAAGATAACTACTATAAATGGCAATTTTTAAAATCAAGCCTTTTTTTTAACACAATTTTCATAAAACAATTCTAAGAAACTGTTAATTAAGCATGTCTTTGTACAGTTTTGTCCATTAATATTTTTGGAATAGTTGAAATCAGTTTGATTCCGATTCATCTCTGAACCTGACCAAACCGAATGGTGTGCACCCATATTTTAGATGTTTATACTACAGCAATGCATGTTTCTCGCAAACTAATTCAAACTTAACCAGTTAGCTATTTATTAGTAATTGCAATAGTTCATTTTGTTCTTATGAGACAATGTGCTCCTGAATATAGGCATTTGTGGTAGGGCATGACTGGGGTGCTCAGGTTGCATGGTTCCTTTGCCTCTTCAGGCCAGATAGAGTCAGAGCACTTGTAAACTTGGGCATTCCTTACCGGGACAGATCACCCGTCAAACCCATTGAGTTCATGACCAAAATATTTGGAGAAGGATTATACATTTCTCAATTTCAGGTGAGGAAATTAAATCTGATGCTTCTTTGTCACCATTTTTGGTATTCATAAATCATTTTAGGGTAAGTTGTAGTCAGGTCGAGTCCTGGACTAGCCCGGTGCACGCGGCTTGTGGGGTGTTGTGTGCGTCCCGGGGTGGATTACTCTCACTCGTAAAGGTGCAAGGATACAGGGGAAAAAATGTGCTAACTTCTGCTTTTGTATATATTGTAGGAGCTAGGAAGAGCAGAGAAATCATTTGAGAAGTACAACTGTCTAACAATACTAAAGAAGTTTCTGCTGATCAATGCTCCTGATCCTCTAGTCGCTCCTCCCGGTGTTGAGATCATAGATTTTCTCGAAAGCCCTGCTTCATTGCCTCCATGGATTACAGAGGAAGAACTCCAAGCCCGCGCTAGCAAATTCGAAGCATTTGGATTCACCGGGGCTTTGAACTACTACCGTAACATGGACACGTAAGATCACTCTTTGATTCATTATTAAAGTACAGATCGAATGAATGTGTGAAGTAGTGGTCTCAATTTGTTTCCACTTGGATCGTGTTCCTGTCGGGTTTTGACCTAATTAATTTTTGACCCGTTTTTGTTTCGTGGGTTGTGAATTCGGAATCTTGTCTTTGTTGTGTTGTACCCTCGTATATAAAGATTAAAGATGCTAAGGTTTGTGGTGTAGATTAGAGAGAACATTGAAAGCCAAATCGAGAGTGAGAGAGACATGGTTTGGAGGTATGAAAACTTGTTATCTCCATTCGTTTTTTTGTGTAGGGAAACCCCCCTCAAATTAGTTTTCTTTTTCGTTTGGAACTTTTCAAAGGGCCGGAGGAAATTGTTTCTCACTAGGATGTTTTTATTTTCGAGTTCTTTGAATTGATATATAGGAAAGTTAAGCATGAGCATGATCCTTTAGACTATGCCATAAAAACTTTCTATTAGCTACTATGTGTCTGCAGTGGTATACTTGTCCAAAACAAGGATTTGGTAATTGAAGAAGACCATATAAATAAAGGTGAAGTTGAGAGAATATTCTAGAAAGAAGAAAAGTGTGAAGAATGAAAGAAAGAGAATTGTAAGAGAGAAATTGTGAGCGTGTAATTTTGATACTGAAATAACAGATAGTTGTTCTTCTGCCGTGAAAGTAAGGAATTTGCCGAACCATGTAATTTTGCTTTCATCTATTTTTGTTGCTATTATAGAGTGAAATCCCTTGTTTGTTTATGTCTGTGCTTCCATCTGCAATTGTTGCTATTATGGAGTGAAATCTTGGGGTAATTCCTAACAATTACACAGGTTATAAGTCGAATCACGTAAATTTTTGTGTTTTGTGTGAGGGCATAGTTTTACATTATCTATTGTTCTTGATTGAGTTTATTGATTTAGCATTTGATGTCATGAACCCAGGAATTGGGAGCTTCTTGGACCATGGAAGGGAGCAAAAATTAGGGTTCCAACAAAATTAATAGTCGGTGACAAGGATATGGGGTTTCACTCATTTGGGACCAAGGATTATATAGAAAGAGAAGAATACGAGAAGGACCAGCTAGTACCCAACATTGAAGTGGTTGTTATTGATGGTGGCCATTTTATTCAACAGGAGAGAGCTGAACAAGTCACTAATGAAATCTTATCCTTCTTCACTATTCAATCTCTTGTCTAAATAAACTTGTTCTTGTATTTGCATAACCAATATTTTACATTTTTCCTTAGAATTGGAAAAATTAATATGTATCCGTTGTTGGAGACATGAACTTTTATTTTTATTTGACAAGAATTTACTGCTTTCAAAAGTAGGCTAAAAATATCAAATTTTTATATGAGTTTTGAGATGACTCAAGTTATATTTATTTTTAGATTCATAATTATTGGGACCAAAAAAAAAAAAAGGTGTTTCGAAATTATTTGAGGGGGTAAATCAAAATCTTTTATAAATTTTGGGGGCTACAAGTAGAGGTAAATATATAAAATAACATTTTTGCAGGGGTATACGAAGAATTTTGAAAATTTTTGGGGGGTGGCCATGGTTATATTGTTTTTGATGAAAAATTAGCAGCTAGATTTCATTGTTTCTGTCAGCCACTTTGAAATTTGTTGTGAAGGCAAATGTATGTCAGGTTCTTCCGGCTTTGGAATTTGGTAATTCTGTTTTCTCCTTCAAATATTTTCTTTTTACCGGCAAATTTTCCTTCTTGTAAAATGTCACATTTTGGGATGTCTTTGAATTGAACCAATTGATGATTTTTACTGTATTACTAGTTGAAATACTTCGTAGGGTTGGGTTGGGTAATTGTAAAATTCCACCCGTTTCGTGTACTTTTTTGTGTGTAACATTAGAAGAAGTTACATGAATTTTTTTGAGGAAACATTCTGCTGATTGTGATTGTGATTGTTCTTGATTTGAAAGGAAGTGGTATAAGTTAGACCTGCCATTACCTATTGCTTAAACTAGTTTTTTTAGACATCGAGACATCGAGTTCTTGGTCCTTTTAAAGAATTTTTATATCAAAGTTTAAACACACTTTAAAATGGTATTATATGTTTATTATAGAATTTATTTGTCACACATTGCTGGTAAGTTCTCTGATTTTGAAACTATATTAGATTGAGTTTTGTTGAGTGTAATCACTTTTTATGTATATTGTTGGTGAGTACTCTTTGACAATCTGTAATGTTTTTACCGTACAAATTTGAAATGCTCTTGTGTATTAGAAACATCCTAATCAACCTCCTCTTAACAAACTAATTTTAATATCATGTTATTACTACTTAAAAAATTGTGCACACTACTTGCTCTAAATTCACTCTTTAAGTGTTGATTACAAATGAAACACCTACCTTATTTATAGACATGTTACGCTATGATATACATTTAGATTCATTACAATGGTTAAAACTTTTCTATCTAAAATTCTTTTCTAAATATGTTCAAAGTCTCCACTCTTCTATATTTCTCTAGAATCTCAAAACCCTAAAACATTCCAGACAATTTTTGGAAGACTCTAAAACCTAATTCTCTACACTCAATAGATGTCACGCAAACTCCTTCTCAGTATTTGTGTGGCATAACCTCTTTCTGACTTAACTCGTCCTATTGGGCCTAGCTTCGACCTACCCTAATAGGATGGGTTTAGAGTCATCCTTAATAGAGTTTCGGACTAATTTGTATAGATAGTTTTAAATCAGCAAAATTCCAAACATGACTGTTTAATAAGAAATATATAAATAAATATTTTTTTATTAGTTATAGTGTTCTTTTCACTTCATTTCTTATGATAATTTTAAATTTTAATAATATTTTTGTTATTATTAAATATTTGACTATAATTAATTTTTTTTTTTTTTAACAAAATTTATCTTAAATTTGTTTAAACTTAAAGTTACACAAAAAATTTTAAGTGGGTACTGCTTTCAGAATCCTCGTGCCCATAACACTATTGTACTTCTCAATTGTCTACAGTATCCTATCACATATAGTGTTCTTTACAATATAAACTCCATTATATCCATTGGTTAAGTTTGTTTCGATCAAAAATTCACAATTTGTTTCGATTAAAAAAAAATAAAAATGACAATAAGTTTACTTTTCACATAATATAGTAATTATCACTGAAAACATCCACCAAAGCAAATAAAGCAATACCCTGCCTATATCATGTCAAAATTAAATGGTTAATCCACAAGCGCTAATTATTTTATATTGCATAATTTAGTATGCAATAAAATAAAAGCTACAAATATAGGGATAAGTGCAAAAAAACATCGGTAAATTATACTCCGCATAATACTTTTACCCCATATTTGAAAAGGAATAGTTAAAAAGAAAATGATGGTCATTATATAATAAAAGAATTCTAGATATTCATAAAATTAAATTAAAAATGTTTAGTAGGTACACCTAGTGGATTGCAATAAAATTTATTTGATGTTCACGTCAAGGTTTATACACTTAAATTTCAGTAATTAAATAGTTAAAATTGAAACACAACGATTAAAGGATCTCAATTTATGAATAAATCAAATTAAACTTTGTGAGATCTTAATATTCTTAATCTCCTTTCAAATCACTAAATTTCAATTGTAAGATAAGAAATGTGCTAGTTATGTATTTTCGTAATAGACATGTATATTGAAAACGTTTTCATAATGCCTAATATTCCTCAATATAAAATATATTCTTATAAAAGCACGAATTTTTTAAAAAATTACATGAATGACTCTCTCAGCTCCAATGAAAGATGTGAAGAGGCTTCTGTCTAGGATTTGGTAAATGAAGACCTTATAAATAAAGGTGAGTTTGAGAGAAAATAGTAGAGAGAAGAAAAATGTGAAGAGTGAAATTATGAGTGTAATTTTAATATTAAAATAAAGATAGTTGTTCTTCGAAGAAAATTTGTCTAACCACATAAATCTCTTTTGTTTTGTTTGTGTATTTACTTTCATATATTTTTGTTGCTATTATAGAGCGAAATCACTTGTTTGTTTGTGTATTTGTTGCTATAATGGAACGAAAGTTTAGAGTACGTAATTTCTAACAATTACTTAGGTTATAAGTCGAATTACATAAATTTTTATGTTTTGTGTGAAAGCATAGTTTTACATTATTTGTTGTTTATGATTGAGTTTATTGGTTTTGCATACGAGAATGTTATAAGATTATTTTTCACTTCTCTATATATATGGTCATTTTCCGAAGAGAAATGCTAAATGACCCGATTACTGTTCACCCGAAAAACCGACAAGTACGTGTCAATAGTAGATTGGTCCAAGTCACATACCTTTTCTTTGTCAGCAGCTGATTTGGTTTTGCGTTTTCTACCCTTCCCTTCAATCTCTATACACTTCGTGGCGACTGAGCTTCTCTGACTGAGTTCTCCCTCATCAATCTCTCTTTCAATTCTCGGATGCGCGTCCGCGGTGGTTAACATCGACGACACCAAAAATTCAGCGTAAAAAACCCTAATCACATCCAAGCCCAATCGCACAACCCAACCACCGCCAAATGCACAACCCAATCGTCGGCGACTTCGCGCGTCAATTCGTCAATCGCCGGCCCAAACGCACAACCCAATCGCCGTTCACTCAACCTAATCGCTGCTCACCACCGAACATCATCCACCTCCGGACCAGTCGCCGCAATTCGTGGGAAAACTTCTAACGCCACCAGAGAGAAAGGAAGAAATGATGGCGGTGATACAAGGAGCGGCGGCGATGAATCGACGGGTCACGGACTGTAACCGGCGAGACTAGGCACTCGCGGAACTGTTGTCTCTTTCGATGCCAACGATCGCCGCTGTGGCTGGTCACGCCGCTGGCGAGGGTTCGCCGGTGAGAGCTCAGAACTGAGCTTCGAAGTGGGTTCGCTCCAAGTTGAATCAAAACCCATCAAATAATAGATTGTTTAGGCAACGCCGCGTCGACGAAGCTCTGGCCTCTGGGATCAACCGTGTCGTCCTTTTGACGCAATCATTGTCGTGAAGCTCGCCGGACCTATTCATAAAACTCAACGGAAATGGGTTTTCGTTTGGTTACCAATTGGGTCTGTAAGATTGCAACGACAGCACACTGCAGCGAGTTCCGTTCTCCGGTGAGTTATAGAACGAGTTCATTAAGTTTCAAGATACCCGCGAACTTCAAGATACCCAGTTCCAAACTCACCTCCACCCCGTAGACCCAGTTCCGCTTATGCCGTCTGTAGCCACGGTGAGCAGAGAGCAAGGAAAGTATGGCGCTGAACTGGGTTTGCAGTTATCGCCGGCCGAGTGAGACGATGCGGCAGCGTCGGAAATCGGAGGAGCTGGTAGAGAAGCAACCTGAGTTGAGATCGGCTTGGATGGCCTTGGATGGTGTCGGCGATGAGCAAGATGGACAGAGAGTTTCACAATGAAGAACCACGATGAAGCGTCGGTGGATTCACCCCGGGGCCGGCCGTAACAACTTTGGGCTTTCGCCACGCCGATGATGGAATTTCCAGTTTCTGGATCTCGCCAACATGGATCTCCAGTGGTGGGGTTACAAACTATTTCTCTCTCTTGATTGCAGAGGAGATTTGATGAGAGAGAAAGGCGATGGCGATGAGAACCGTCGAGTCGGAGTCGTAGAGCTTGACCCGGTATGGTGCTGTTTCTGATGTTTGGCGATGAGCAGTGGAGAGCTAGAGGGAGCTCGGGGCTTAGAGGAACAGCCGGCAAGCTTGGAACTGAATCTGCGGTTGCAGAGAGAGGTGAGGTGACAGATGAAATCCGATCGGCGGTGGGAGCAGCGAAACCAGTTGATCTCTAGTCCGATCGTGTAGATGAATGATTCTGGAGATGGAGAGCCGAGTGTAGATGAATGATTTGGTCACGGAATGTTCGCCGGAAAGATTGGTTCGTCGCCGATGGTTAGAGAGAGAAAGAGAGGAGGGAGGGAGAAGGGGCATCCGGTTCGAAAAAAAAAATAAAATAAAATAATTTGACACGTTGGAAGCCACGTATAACTGTCGGTGAGAGTTGGTGAATAGTAGTCGGGTCGTGTAGCACATCTTTTCTGAAATATTGAACCAATTCATCATAATATGAAATACTGTACTACTAATTTTGATGCCATGGATGCAGGAACTGGGAGCTTCTTGGACCAAGGAAGGGAGTGAAAATTTTGGTACCAACAAAATTAACAGTCGGTGACAAGGATGTGGGGTTGGTATTGATGGTGGCCATTTTATTCAGGAGAGAGCTGAACAAGTTACTAATGAAATCTCATCCTTCTTCACTAATCAATCTATTGTCTAAATAAACTTGTTCTTGTATTTGCATAGCCAATATTTTTCCATTTTCCTTTAATA